GCAATAGTTTGCTAATAACAAGTTCATTCACAGAGGCCTCCTGCTTCATCTGGTACTTCTCTCCAGACTTCAGCACCTGTGTTCCCTTCTTCCACTCCACAGGGACTCCAGGTTTGGAGAGCTCACAACGCAAAGTAACACTGGCTCCTTCCTCAGCCTCTTGGCTCTCCAACTTCTGTTTGAAGGTCACCGGTTGGGCTGTGTGGTCATTAGTTATTACACAATCAATGGTATGTCACAGCAAATTTCACATAAACAAGCACAAATCACAATAAAGCTGAACAAGCAGAGCTTACACTGACAGTTTGCACATATTTATGGCAGACAGGAACTCCAACAAACAGCCTTAAATACATACATGAAAGAAATACACACTCAAAAAAAAACTTGTTGCAATAAACTAACTATAAATCCTCCTCCTACCCTTGATCTTGAGGTTGGCTGTGGTCTTCTGGTCACCACAGACACAGCTGTAATCTCCACTGTCTTCTGGCACCACCTTGCTTATAATGAGTTCATTCACAGAGGCCTTCTGCTTCATCTGGTACTTCTCTCCAGACTTCAGAACCTGTGTTCCCTTCTTCCATTGGACAGAGACTCCCGGTTTGGAAAGTTCACACTGTAAAGTAACACTGGCTCCTTCCTCGGCCTCCTGCTTCTCCAACTTCTGTTTGAAGATCGCTGGTTGGGCTGCATGGTCATTAGTTGTAATATTGTCAATGGTATTCTTGCTACAACAAATAGTACACGAATAAGCACAGAGTGCACTCACACTGAACAAATAGGTCTAACACGGACTGTTTGACACATTAATCACAGACAAGATCTACAACAAAAACCACAAACACACAAAAACCCGTTGAAAGGAACTCATAATAAATCCTCCTCCTACCCTTGATCTTGAGGTTGGCTGTGGTCTTCTGGTCTCCACACAAACAGCTGTAATCTCCACTGTCTTCTGGCACCACCTTGCTAATAATGAGTTCATTCACAGAGGCCTTCTGCTTCATCTGGTACTTCTCTCCAGACTTCAGAACCTGTGTTCCCTTCTTCCACTCCACAGAGACTCCAGGTTTGGAGAGTTCACAATGCAAAGTAACACTGGCTCCTTCCTCGGCCTCCTGGCTCTCCAACTTTTTCACAAATGTCGTTGGCAATGCTGCACAAGTGGGTTTTATAAAACAGCAAAATTTGACACAAATAGTAAGAAAACATCAAAGGTTTCGTGTTTTTTGATTAAACTTTATAAACCTCTTATAACAAAGACATGAATTCATACCACCACTTTTAGGTTAGCAGAAGTTGTCTGGTCCCCACAAAAGCAAGGATAATCTCCCCTCTCTTCATCACTAAATTCACGATTTTACGTATACAGAGGGTATACCTGAGTCATGTTTTTCTCTTGGTATAAGATGTTCTGGTCATTTCCTCCACTGGATATTGGAGGCAGCAGGTTTTGGATTAATTAATGTTTTAGTTGGAGAACAAAACAATACAACTCAATATAGCTTATGAGTCATCCAATGTGGATTAAGAGGGAATGACATTTATTCAATTTTTGTGTTAAGCCAGATTGGGGTGGAATTGAAAGTGAAGTTTTCAGTTCCTTACATATTCCTAATTTCTCACCTTTCACAGTCACCTTTGCCATGCTTTTCGCAGTGCCCACGTCACATGTGTAGATGTCAGTGTCCTTCTCCTCCAGGTGTTTAATGATGAGAGTTAGGACCTTCTCCTTCTGGGACATCTCGTACTGACCTCCAGCCCTGAGCTCTGTGTGGCCTTTCAGCCACGTCACTGTGGATGGAGTTTGTGCCGTTTCGCAACGCAAGGTCACAGAGGTCCGCTCATCTGCTTGGATGTCCTCAAGCGCTTTGGTGAATTTATGGATCGGTTCTGGTAAAAGTAAAATTGCTACCGTTTAGAGAGTAACAACCATCTCATTGGTTTGCTATATATTTTTGGGGAACACCAATGTTCAATATATGGCTGGAAAAAGGAAGAAAATTGTCTGGTCTCACGTCAGACTATAATGTTTAGCAGCAATGTATTAAACATTTCTGCTAATACTGAATATTCTTAATAAATTAAATGTAAAACATCTATGTGTGTCTAAAAGTAATGTTATGAACATGTACAAATCTCTACGAGTTCACAGAAAGAAATACTAAGGAAGAAAAAAAGGAGAATCTGAACTTTAAATGTTTAATTATTTTTGCTATTTTTTATATTATTGTTTGATATTAAACTCCTACTGAAAGTGGTTTATTGTGAATAATTTTTCTTTAGAATATTCAGATAATATGCAAGGAGGATACATTTTATTTCCAGTTTGAAGTAAGTAAGTAAGTAAATAAATAAATAAATAAATAAATAAATAAATAAATAAATAAATAAATAAATAAATAAATAAATAGTAAGTTGGCCAGCTGTGTCTACATAAGTAAAAAGATAGTTCATAAAGTGTATACATTTCATCCTTACCCTTAATTTCCAGCTTGGCTCTTGTGGTTGCACCTCCAACAACTTCACAGCTGTACTCCCCAGAATCTTCAGCAGACACATTGCGAATGGTGAGCTTCATGAGCTTCTCCTGTTGACTGATCTCATACTTCTTGCTTGTTCTGATGGCTTTACCATCTTTAGCCCACTTTACAGTAAAACTAGCCTGTGTAACCTCACAGGCAAAAACAGCATCTTCGCCCCACACAACAGAAACATTCTGAAGCCCAGTTGATAGAGACGAAGCTTTTCCTGTGCCATGGAAACACAATGTTTAGATGACTTATTTTGGTATGTATGCCTCTATTTTAATCACCAATTCTGAATAACTATTCTGATACATTCAAAATTTATGAAGTGACTTACCTTCAACTTTTAGTGTCGCTTTGGAGCTCAGGTCTTTAATGCTGAAGACCACCTCACCAGCATCAGCAGGGGTCACATCCTTCAGGGTCAGAGTGTACTTTCGCCCCTGACTGGAGATCTTATAGCGACCTCTGTTTTTAACGGCTTTGCCGTTGACAGACCACAAGCAGTCATCAATGCTCTCGCGCGACAGAATGCAGTCAAAGCTGCATGTGTCTCCTTCATTCACCACAACGGATTTCAGTTTTTTTGTGATGCCGATACCAATTTCTAGGATAGGAAAGAAAGAGGTTTTTTTTTTTTTCACTTTAACTCTAAATTGCTTACCCAAAAGGGTACTCACCTCTTACAGTGACCTTTGCCTTTGTGACTTCTGTGCCAAGATCACAACTGTATTCTCCAGCATCTTCCTTGGTCACATCCTTAACAATCAGTCCCAAAGACTTGCCCGTGTGAAGGAGCTCATATTTTGGTCCAGCTTTTAACACTTTATCCTCTTTTCTCCATATTGGAGAAACTCTTGGCTTGTTTGCTTCACATGTCAAAGTTATCATGCCTTTCTCCTCTCCTGTGACATCGTCTAGTGACTTGAGGAACACAGCTCGTTTCTCTGCAGGTTAAGAAAGGTGGGAGAAACAAACAGCCAGATTTATTTCTATACACTATAAGAAGATGAAGTCCAAACACTAGCATCTGTGTTCACCCTAATTACATACAGTGAACTTCATACCCATTGAACTTTGCCACATTTTGTCATCTCACAACCATACACTTAAATATTTTTTTACAGAGATTTAATTTTATGGCTCCACAAAGTGGAAGCAAATGAGGCAATATATATAAGTATAGCATGCATTTGTAATAAGCCTTCAGTGACCGAGCATGAGAATGAGTGTGAGCAGTGAAAGGAAGAAAACAAGTGGAGAGCAGAGAGCAGGCTGTCACTCCATGGGAGTTCTTGGAGGCTCTTCTGATTCACTTCAAAGCATCGGCTCTTACAGCTGATGCTTTTGAAATGACCCTTCACTATTGGATGGAGAGCAACAATCAAAACTAAATTTAAATCTTGCCACAAACTCTAAATTTAATATAGATTTGGACTTTAAGTAGGCTATTATAACATTAAAGGAGCACTTCCATGCCTCTGTCACACTTATGACTTTATTTCAACACTGACCTTCTTCTTGTCACTTTCCTATAATGACAAAATTTTTGAGGTGTACAGCTCTTAGCTGTCCCCTCAAAAGATTCTCCCACCTGACCTTTACATCTTCTCCAGTGTTGCCATGGGCCCCTTGTCTGCTCCTCTGTTTAGCGTTCCTCTTGTTTGACAGATCAGGTTAGGCAGATGGTCATGTTTAAGTAAGAGCAATACTCTTTCCATTGTCAAAATGGATGAAACAGAACTTCACCAGAAACTCAAAGTTTGGGGTATTGCTTCTGTTTCCATCTCTTATGTCTTAATGATGCGAGAAACCAGCTCCATACATACTGAGTTCACATTACAGACAGGTCTATTTACCTCTGTGGGCAATTTGTTAAACTGGAATTTATTTAGGAATACTAAAGTAAACTACAAAAATACTTTGTGTTGGTCTATCATATAAAATCCCAAGAAAATATATAGACATATGTGGTTGCAATGTGACAAAATTTCACAAAGTTCCAAAATACTTTGAATACTTTTGCAAGGCACTGCAATTATATGTTTTTGAGCAGTAAATTAATTTAGGTAACCAGGAAGTTTGAGGCCAGGTATTAAAAGACAGCAAATGGCATTGCTTACCTTTAACCTTCAGTGTGACAGATTCTTTCACTTTGCGTACTTGAAAGGTGATAGTTCCTCCATCCTGAGGAGCCAAGTTCTTCAGCGTGAGCTTGTGGACCTTGCCCTCATGTGTGATGGTGTTCACCTCATTGGTGAACAGGACCTTCTCATTCAGATGCCACTGTGCATCTTCATCAGGGTAGTTGATCTCACATGTGAACATTGCATCGCTGTCTTCATCAACCTCTGTGTCAGCTAGGTGCTTGGTGATCTTTATTTCTCGTACTGAGAAGTTAAAACAAGAAAGTAGTTATAATGTCAACTGCATAAGTTATGCGAGTATGCAGTTTTCCATCAAATATAAATCATACCTTCAACAGTTAGAGTCCCTTTGGTTTCAGCAGGACCTGACTGACAGCGGTACTCCCCACTGTCTTCTTCAGTCAATTTTTGAACAGTAAGTTGAGCCCTCGCAGCATCTTGTCTTATGTTGTATTTATCTGACGCTGCCAGAAGAACCTGACCTTTGAACCACTTCACTTCTGGAGGTGTGGCAGAAAATTTGCAAGCAAGTGCAGCAAAGCTTTTTTCATTTGCCTTTACATCTTTGATATGCTCAGTGATCTCAAGTGGGCGCTCTAAACATACAGAAAAGTATATGATAACAACAGTATTAATGCAGAAAACAAAATATACCCAATTGTTGTGAGAGCCTGAAAAAAAGTATTCACCTTTGACTGTGAGTTGAGCAAGAGATTTGCTTTTCCCTGCAGTGAATTGAACTGGTCCAGTCATTGACGCTTTGGTCTTTTTAAAAGTGAGACGATGCATGGTGCCTTCTTTCTCCATCTCAACATCAACACCCTCCTGCACAGGAACCGCACTCAAAGTCCAAATCGGAAGTTTCACTAATTCCATACTGACTTCAACTTCAAAAACAGCTGCAAAAGGTTCCGTCACCTCGACTGAACTGAGTTCCCGTACGATACTGATGGACTGTTCTGTAAGAATCACAAAAAGATCAAAGTAAGAAATGACAAATGGCATCCATTATTCTCAAGGTAACAGATATTTGTATAATGTTTTATTAGTTATATGATCCAAGAATGACCATTCAGGTAATTTGACTAGCACAAAAACAATGATCAAAATTTAATTTACTGACATTTGCCCAAAAAACACATATCTAAAAAGTCACCTGGCTGTATGTGTCTTTACACTCAGATATTTTGTTGATCGTTTGAGTAATAATTTATTTTGGAAACTACTTGAAGTCATTTCTAGATGGTTTACCCCGCAACTTCTGGATTTCTCTCAGGCTATCCTAGCAGTGAGATATGTCTGAAAACCCTAAAAGGGGATTCTGGTCAGAATGCCCTTGGGCAAAAGAGATGCCCAAGGGCATTCTGACCTTGGGCATTAGAAGTAGTAGAACTTTGAATTAAATTGTCATTATTTACAAAATCATGCAAAGTTGGCATTTTTAATGGACTTTTAATGCAACTTTTAAAGCAACTTTGCATTAAAAGTGTCAATATTTACCAAATGACACTTCATGACAACAATCACAGACAGTCATAAGGACTCGTTCATGTTCATGACAGATATTATGTCATGTTTATGACAGTGTTATGTCAGTCTTATGCACACCCCTTCAAATAAAGTGTTACCCAGATATCTGGTCAGGAGGGAGCAGTCCACTATTTCCCAATTTAGAACCATGTCCTTAGAATTAGACGAGCTGACTCTCATGCGTACACCTAGTGTTCAGCTGTGAACCACTCCACTGCCCACTAATGGTCATGAAATTAACTTACCATCACAACCACATCATTCGCAAATGGTAAAAAAAATTGAGGAGCAAGGTTTGGTAATAACCATGGTATTCCTTTATCAAGTTCTTATGTCTTTGAATCTTTGATCTATTGATAATATTTTACTGTCATCACAATTAATCTAGAACTATTAGAAACGTACATATTTGGAGCAAATACATTTCTTGTAATGAATCACACTTACACTTATAGCCATGAATACCTTCTTTTGTGATCCTAATCACTTAGACAAATTACATAGATGTTATCGGCAATAGCATTTAAAACTTTTCATTTGGTTTATAGGATAAAAAAGTTAATTGATCTTAATAAATTAGTAGGTGAGATTGGTTACAGGAAGAAACAAAATACAAATTGGTAGATGTCCAGGTTTTATCCCATTAGTAGATTATTTCACACTGATAAATAGATCTATGCCTCATTGACTCTCAGTCTGATGGCTTGTTTTGTGGGTGTATCTATTCATAGCAACACTAAGTGTACAAGTATTCTTTGTCATCTTCCGTTTTACCTTCCACAAGCACTTTACAGGATGTCTTGTCATCTGTAGCATCGCAGGTATACATGTCTTCATCACCAGAATCCACGTCATTGATGGTGAGCTTTCGGTACACATCTTCACCTTTGATCTCATATTTTTTGCTGGCTTTGATCTCCATCTTGTTCTTGAACCACTTCACTTTTGCAGTGGCACGTGACACTTGGCATTCAAGATGAGCACGGTGCTTATACATTGCTATCTTATCCCTGAGTTTCTTCACAAACTTGACAGGCAGTTCTATAGTAACATGAACATGGCGTGATTGTAGACTAGTAATTGTGTCTCAAAAAAGGCCTATCAGTGCAACAGGTCTTATTATAGCTCGTGCTAAAGCACATGATAAGAAGACCATTGCTCAATAATTCTGCCAAAGCCAGAGAAATCAGCGGTAGGTATTCTGGCAATGGAACACAAAAGCAAAGCTATAACATAAAAATGCCAGATAAAATCCACAAATTGATGCAGCTCAATGTAACTTTGACTGTTTCCCACCCTTTACATTGAAGCTGAATACATTTTGCATATGCAATGTGATCATTGGCAACAAAAAGTCAAAATTACAGAGTAATCACACAATTGCCTACATCAGTTATGCCAAAATGTCAGGCTAAAATTTTGATGCAAAAAAAAAAAAAAAAAATCACCAAGTTTGATTCTCAATGAAATGCATTTGGGGTACCATCAGGCCTCAATGAGGAATAAAAATCGAAATGCAATTTGCAATTGGATAGTCAATCCTATCAAATTAAAAGCAGTCAGAATGATGCAATGTGTTTCCTATTTTTAGATAAATATACATCTAGTAGGTATGTGAAGATTTAATCTTAATATAGTATGTTGCGTAAAATAAGATTATGAAATTTAAATTGCAGTAGCCAGTGTGTAGATTTAGAGGAAGCAGTGCTTACAATATGCAGATAGGTATGGCATTCATTCTAACACTTTTGACCCAATGGACATGATCAATCCAATTGCAAGACTATGAAAGGTTCATGCCGTTCTCCATTCAGCATTTGAAAAATTTATAAATATTCAAAAAAAATAAACAACTGCTTACCTTTCACTTTAAGTTTTGCAGCTGAAGATGCTTTTTCAGTTGTAAATCTAATTTCACCCATGTCTTCAGGAGTTACAGATTTAAACAGCAGTGTATATGTTCTGCCTAGAAGAGGATAAAACATTTTCAAATAAAAACATAAAAGTTCTAATCATTTTAATTTTTTTTTTTTAAATCCTTACCCTCTTGTCTCATCTTGACATTTTCGCTGGCTTTAATTTTAGCATTTCCTCTGAACCACTGGTACTCCACGTCGTCATGAGAGATTTCACAGGTAAACGAAGCACTCTCCTTCTCCACCGCTTCCACATCTTGTAGCTTCTTAACAATCCTGATATCTCTGGCTACAGGAAGCAAATTAAGAATGAATTTCATTAGAACAATAAAAAAAAGCACACTTTGACTGGTTAACTAAATGTGCAGGTAATTAATCACCTTGCACAGTGAGCTTAGCAGAGGTGTTATCATCAGTTGTGCGACAGATGTAAGTGCCTCCATCTTCAGGCGTGCATTTGTTGATAACTAATGTGCGCTTTCGGCCCAAGGAATGAATAGCAACGTTCTTTGTTGGCTTCAGTTCAACATCATCCTGCAGAATTGTTGTTGTTTTCAAAATGTTATTAATATTACTTTTGAATAGGATATTTTTATTTTGCTTATATAGATGAACAAGTAACTTTTCACCTTGAACCATTTAACTTCTGCGTTGTTTCTAGACACTTCACATTCAAATGTTGCCTTCTCCTTCTCAGGAACATTGATGTCCATTATGGGTTTGGAGATCATAGCAAGAGGTTCTGTATGATTAGCACATTTAAGTCAAAAAAAAAAAAAATGGCAATGTTCAGACAATTCCCCAGTAGAACAAATAATCAGCAGAATTTACCTGTGACAATCAGTTTGCTTGAGGTATGGACTCCCTCTGCTTGAAAGGAAATAGTCCCGGCATCCTCTCTCTTCAGATTGGAAAGCGTCAGGGTATGCTTTTTTCCCACGGTCGTGATGCGGCAGTTTGCCCCTGACCTTAACTTGGCCCCATCTCTGGTCCACGAGCCTTCAACATCAGCTTGACTCAGCTCCACTTCAAGAGTCACTGTCTCCGTTTCATGAGCTTTTGTTTCTGTTAGAGCTTTTATTACCTGAATCTTCTTCACTGGAGGGGAAAACAACATTTAGTGATCATCATACAGTGAGAAAGTGGAAAAAGGTTGAAGAATAATGGAAACAGTTTTTGATAAAATTTCACTTCATTAGGTCTTTTTGTCAAATGTCTTTGATAAACAAAGTCTCTTTAACAGATTTGAAGCATAGGCAAAGAGTGAGTCTTGATTTATTTTTCATGATTTTGGGCTGTAACTCTGACATACTTGATTTAAACTTCTGAGCAAATTTCTGAATGACTGGTCATACTCACTTTTGGAGTATTTACTACATTTAACATGCCTTCGAATATTTTCTTCATAACCCAACTGCTTCTGAATTGATGGCAAAAGTCGAATCTAGAGAGTGTTTGTCAAAATGGTTATGACAGCAGGTGTTTCCTTTGAAGCAATCATGGTTGACAAAAGAAGAATGTTTCAAGCAAAACTTTCTTTAAAATGAACCATCTGCCCTGCTAATTCAGTCGGAATGACAAATGATAGGCCCTTTTATAACACTTTCCCCTGAGTTGATTATAAGATTATTGAAGAATGAGAAAATGATTTTAAGGTCAGAAGCACAGAGCTTTTTTTTTTTTTTTTTAATACCGATCAATACTTCTTCTCATCATTCTACATAGCAACCTGGACTAAATATAAATCACCACCATAACAGCTGAAACTGTAAAACTAAATTTCTGTCAATCAGAAAAAATTTGATGTGAAGTGAACAAAATCCTGTGAAAAGTAAATGCTAAGCAATCCTCTATATACAATTGGGAAACGCATTCTGTTACTGTGGTTCAAGAGTTGTATGGTAGCACCAGATATGCATATTGTATTAGTCTCTCCAAAAACATTATTAGGGATTATTCTTACTCTCAACAGTGAGTTTTGCTTGAGTCTTGTCATCCAAAGTCTCACAAGAGTATATCCCGCGGTCAGAATAAGTTACTCTCTTGAAAATTAGAGCCTGCTTCGCTCCTTCAACTCGGATCTCTATGTTTCCTGCGGGCTGCACAACAACACTGTTCTTCATCCACTTGACTTCATCTGAAGGCTTACTCAGCACTACTTCCAGTTTCACTTCATTCTCTTCTTCCACCGTCATATTTTCCAACTTTTTCTTAAAAGTGACAGGTTCACCTTGGAAAAGCAGACGTGGTGATTTACACATATTTTGTATTTCTTGGAAATTGCAAATGAACAAAAGTAAAACTGGCAGCTACTGAAGAAAACATTTCTAAGCTTACGCTGAACTTGAAGAGTTGCTTTGCAGCTTTTGCCTTCTGCATCAACACTAACTTCTCCTGCATCTTTCTGTGTGACTGAAGTGATGGTTAGTGCGAAGCTACCACCTCCATGCTCAGGTTTGTACTTGGGCCCAGCAGTGACGGGTATATTGTTGTGGAACCACCGAACATTGACGTCAGCCGGAGTGACTGCACATTTGAAAATGGCGTCCTTTCCCTCCATTGCGGCGACGTTGTTCAGTTTAGCGGTCAACCTCACGAGTCTTGGTGCTGAAAAGAATGAAGCCAGTTTTTAAGATGCAATCAGGCGTTTTCACTAACAGGTGTACACTGACTATAAAAACACATAAAGACATAAGAAACATAGATTCTACAGCACCATTTACAAAAATACAAAGTTTGCAAAAAATTAAGTGAAAATGAAATACCCTTCTGTGTATTTAGGTCAGTGAAATAAGAGGTGCAAGAACGGTACGGACCTGCTGATGTTAGTAAATATTAAGGTCCAAGACTCTGTTCTGGTCTTATTCACAAAAAACATAACTCTTTAAACACACATTGGATGCTTTTATGTGTTTTATAGTGGAGGAATGTCCCTAAAATCCATTCAAGGTTCTCATTTATGGCTCGAATATTTTGGCACAGTTGTAAAGATTGCAAGTTTATATGTAAATTTTCAGATTTAATTACCTTTAGAAGTTACTTTAGCAGAGGTCTTGTCATTTTTACACACGCAGCTGTATTCCCCTTCATCTTCTTTAGTGACTGCTGTGACAGTGAGGATCCTTTTAGCTCCATCTGTTCGGACACAGTGCCTGTTTCCAGGTTTAATTTCACGGCCCTGGTGCTGCCAGAGAACATCCCCTGAGGCCTGATTTAGCTCACAAATTAGGCTGAGTGTTCCTCCTAACTCCACTGTAGCAGTTTTCAAAGGAACAACAAACTTCAAAGCTGAATCTGAAATGAAAGCATGGGATAACAGGGGAAAAGAAAATTAAACATTTGCAGAAGCAGATGTAGAAATAGTTTTATTTGACCTACCTTTAACCTGAACTTTGAATTCCACTTTGTCATCCGGAGTTTGACAGGAGTACGTTCCGCTGTCTTTGGTCTCTGCCGATTTCAGTGTCAAAGTGCGAGAAAGCCCATCTTTTCGTATTTCACACTTGCTGCTCTCCTTTATCTCCACTCCATCTCTGAACCACTTCACATTACCAACTTCTGTGGTCACTTCAGCTGTTAAAACAACTCTTTCACTTGCTTCAACAATAAATGTATCTTTGGTAGGCTTCTTAAACTTCACAGCCATGTCTACAGGACACAATTTTTTTTTAAGTGTTTTGTTACAGAACATAATCTCTGCAGTTAAAACTTTATTTGTAATATACTGGTACCTGTCAATTGCAGCTTGAAGACCAGCTTATCGCTTCCAGCTTCACAGGTATATTCTCCAGCATCTTTCTTCTCCATTCTGTCTATTACCAGCTCACGGGTCTTGCCCTTTGATTCCATGTGGATCCCCTTACTCAAAGTGAGAACCTTTCCATCCTTGAACCATTTCACCTCCATTTTGGAGTCTAAAACTTCACAACTTAGAGTGGCTTTCTGAGTGAGAGCAGCTTCCACTTCTCTCTGAACTGATTCCTTGGTAGAGAAGCCAGTTGTAGTTTCTAAAGAACAAATGAAATATGTGTCATAAACACTTCGGTTCATCTGATTAACATAAGTGGGATTTTTCAGCTGGAAATACACAAAGGATCCAACTGGGGACCGGTACTGGACAACCTTTCAGCTTAGTTGACCTTGACTAGTAGATAGCTGGAATGTCAAAAATGTAATCTTTTCTCAATCAGTAAGCGCAACACACCTAATCTCTGTTACTGCGCAAAGACGATTCAGCGTTAAGCATTTTAGAATTAGTGTGTCAGATGAAGTACAAAGATGTAAGAGGCTATATGACAGAAAACTGTATGTTCTATGACATGTCTGCAACTCATGTCAGAGTGAGTCGACATGAGTCGACTCACTTTTACTCACTTTTTATAAAAGTCAGAGAGAGTGAAATTTTCAGTATGTAATAGGAAGGCTGAATGAGATACAGTCATTACACTGTTTAATCCATCTGAACTATCAAGCTCTGTCTGTCTGTCTGTTGTGGAAAACGCTACATTTGGAAATGTTGGGAGCCTTTTGAGAACATAAGGATGTACATTCTGTTGAAAATATACAAGTAGACAACCGTTTTGTGAAGCTAATGTGCTAATCACACTAATTGCTAATGCTAGAATTTATTTTTATATCGTTTTCTTTGTCTTTGAAGCAGTAAAGCACTGTTTCAGAGTGACTGTTGTTAAACACACATGATTTGTGTTGTGGCCTATGCTCCTAATGTAAACAATTAAGATCCATTAATGTGAAAGGCAAAAAAATGATTATTATTTTTAAAGTCGTTTTTACAGATTTTTTATTGGATTAATCTTTAAAGACAATTTGTCAAAAATATGCAATCAGCAAGTCAAAGCTTTATTAAAACCGAAGGTCAAAAATCAGCTACAAAAATTTTGAATCAGCACTTCTACTTTCAGCTACTGTAAACAAACTTTTTACTTGTTCATGTAGGATTTTCACACTTGTTCATGCTGACTCGGTCCATTTAGGAAGTTGCTTACTTTGTGTTCTTCTCTGTCTTTTATTTTGAACCCTTCAAAAAAAAGTGCTAACAAAAGGTCCAAGTAATAAAATGTTTCAGAAAAGCAAAGCTGTGAAATAAATCCAGTGTAATGGTATATGCCTACAACAGAAAGAAGTATTGTTTTCTTTTCTCCTACCTGCCACATGAATCTTAAAAGCCAACTTCTCAGTCCCGGCCTCACAGATGTATTCTCCAGCATCCTTCTTCTCTACACTGTCGATCATCAGCTGGCGACTCTTGCCCTTTGACTCTGTATGTATGGTTTTGCTGGATTTCAGCAGCTTACCATCCTTGTACCATTTCACCTCTGTCTTTGCATCAGCAACCTTGCAGCTCAGAGAGGCTTTCTGCGACAGAGTGGCTTTCACCTCCTTTTGGACTGACTCCTTGTTGAAGAAGACTGACTTAAGCTGGGTCTCTGTAAAAATAATAATGGAAAACATCTTGAAGCTGCAAACTTAGGTATATGAAACGTTGGTGTATAAAAAAACGCCTTACCTTCAACATGCAACTTAAAGGGCAGCTTTTCAGACCCAGCCTCACAAATATACTCTCCTGCATCTTTTCTTTCCACGCTTTCAATCACCAGCTGGCGAATCTTGCCTTTTGATTCGGTGTGGATTGTTTTGGTTGAAGTGAGCAGCCTGCCATCTTTGTGCCATTTCACCTCTGTCTTGCTGTCAGAAACCTCACAACTCAGAGTGGCCTTCTGGGAAAGAGTGGCTTTCACTTCTTTCTGCACAGAATCCTTTTTGTAGAAGGCAGACTGAACTTGCACATCTGTGTGAAGTAGGAATATATGACTTTGTTAGCAATAATCTACTTTTTACTATCATTTCCTACAGTTTCTGTACAATACGTTGACCATCTACGTGTCAGTTTAGCTCTGGATTCTACCTTCCACCTGGAGTTTGAAGGAAAGCTTTTCCGCACCAGCCTCACAGATGTACTCTCCAGCATCTTTCTTCTCCAGGCTCTCTATCACAACCTGGCGACTTCTGCCTTTTGACGCTGTATGTACCGTCTTACTAGAAGTGAGCAGCTTGCCATCTTTGTACCACTTAACCTCTGTCTTGGTATCAGACACCTCACAGCTAAGCGTAGCTTTCTGAGACACAGTGGCTTTGATATCCTTCTGGACTGACTCCTTGTTGAAGAAGGCTGACTGGGCCTCTGATTAAACAGTCATGAAAGAAAACATATCAGTAATTTCTCCTTAACAGTCCGATTTATATGTGCCAAACATTTTTACCTGCCACATTGATCTTAAAACTCATCTTTTCAGACCCAGCCTCACAGGTGTATTCTCCTGCATCTTTCTTCTCCACGCTGTCAATCACCAGCTGGCGGCTCTTGCCTTTTGATTCAGTTTGAACCGTTTTGCTGGAAGTCAGGAGTTTGCCATCTTTGTACCATTTCACCTCTGTCTTCACGTCCGCTACCTCACAGCTGAGGGTGGTTTTCTGTGAGAGAGTGGCTTTCACCTCCCTCTGTACTAACTCCTTGTTGCAGAAAGCAGACAGAGCCTCTGAAAGTAAAGCCAATAAAAAATACAGTATTGGTATGAATGGGATTTGGGATCAGCAAACAGCTGGTCTTGCATGTCAAAACATCCTGATCAGGACAACTTCAGTGAAAACCATATTTCAAATTAACTGGTTCAGCCTTCCTACCTGATACAGTTATCTTGAAGACCAGTTTATCCCCTCCAGCTTCACAGGTATACTCTCCAGCATCAGTCTTCTCGATGTTTTCAATCACCAGCTGACGGGTGCTCCCCTTGGCCTCCAAGAGAATTCTCTTACTTGACTCCAGCAACTTTCCATCTTTGTACCATTTCACCTCCGTCTTAGTGTCTGACACATCACAGCTAAGTGTTGATTTCTGGCTGAGGACGGCTTTGACGTCCCTCTGAACTGACTCTTTATTGGAGAATGCAGCTACTGCTTGGGTTTCTGAGAATAAAAACAAAATGATCTCAAATTTAAAGCACCTGCATGACAACAATTTACATCATGTTACAAGCAGAAATATCAGTTTTACCTTTTATCTTGACATGGAATGTGACTTTATCAGCTGCTGTCTCACAAGAATAATATCCTTCATCATTTTTCTTGGCACTTTTAATGATAAGTTTCCTTTGGGTCCCTTTGGAGATGATAGTTGTTCTTTGGTCCTCACTAATTTCAACTTTATCTTTTTTCCAGACAACAACAGCACTTGCAGAAGACACCTCACAGGTCAGCTCAAGATCTCCTTTAAGGGATGATGACATTCCCATGGGGCCTCTGGCTTTATTGAGAAATTTGGCAGGCTCATCTAAGCAGAAGTAGAATAAAACTAAATTAATTCCAGTAAATGTAGTCGATGGTTACCGAAACAAAGCTTTTAACCCAGGATGTTATGTGTCCGTTAGTGCAACGTTATAACCACTTTAAAGTTCTATTTCACTTACCTTTCAGTGTCAGCTGAATTGACATCCTATCCTCAGATAAGACACACTCATAAAGACCCACATCTTCCTCTGTGACATTGTGAACCATCAGGATTCTCTTACGATCTCTTATAATGGATTCATACTTCTTCCCCATTTTCACCTCTCGCCCATTCTTCAACCAAGCCACCTGAAGAACCAAACAGTCCAGTTTACCAACAGCACTGAATTAGCCTTATCTTCCCATTAGTACTAACCAGAATCCATAAAGGCATTAACACAGCATAAAGTCACCACCTCATATAGTGTTCTGTATGCTGGCTAATAGTGTGATGACAGTAAGTTTGCAGCTGTGCCTTTCTATTTCCAAATAGTAAACTTGAAGTGCACTGAATGAAATGTAAAAACCAAGGGCTGTTTTCTAACCCAATCCTGTTTTAAGCTTCCTGCCTGGTGTGTTCCTTGGTCTTCATAAAGCTGTTAGAAGCCTTCACTAATTAGCTGTGTATACAGAGAATTATTGGTAAGCTCTTTTATACTAACTAGTTGACTTCTGATGGATATTGGTTGCACTAGATTTTAATTTAGTGTATCATCAAAAAGGGGGCTGATTACATTTGCACACCAGATCTTTCAGAGTTTTAGTTCTCCAAAATGTCTCTAATATCACAGTCATGCTATGGCTTCTGCTGGCTACATGACTAAATCTGAAAAGGTCTGAGGAGGAAATGCAAGGCTCTGTAAGAGGATACATTACTGTCTTCAACAGGATTTATTTTTTAAATATGAAAATGGTCAAAGTGGTGAATATAAGATGTTTTGCACACAAACCTGAGTTTCATAGTCTGACACTTCAGCACTCAGTTGAGCCGTCTCTTGGACGCTGCAGGTTACGACCTCTGGATGGTCGGACTTGTTGGTGAACCTGATAGGGGGTGCTATAGCATATTTTTGTACTTAAAATACATGACTGAGTAAAACATAAAGCTTGAGAAAACAGATTACTCTTATAAAAGCTAAGTGCAGAAAATAATCTTTTTTTTTAAACGACATACCCTTCACAGATAGGATGCAAGTGCTCTGAGAACCTCCACCCACAAATTTGATTTCGGTTCCATTCATTTCCATGGTCACGACACGAATGAGCAATGTGTGAATGTTCTTAGATTTGGTGATAAGATATTCTGATCCACTCCGCAGGAGGCGTCCATTCAGGGACCAGAAGCCTGAACAAACAGCCGACAACTCCACAGAGATGGAGAATTCCTCTCCAGAGACTGCAGAGCTGTCCATCAGGCCCTTCCTGATTTCTGCAGTGGGTTCTGGATAACAGAGACAAACAAAGTAATTTATTAAAAAGCAAAACACAGAAAACAGATGCTTTTCAAGAAAAATATGAAAGACTTACCAAGGTAGAAGCTGCCAGGTACTTCCAGAAAGGGACTCTGGCCAAAGTCATTTGTGGCAGAAATACGGAACTGGTAGCTAACTTCCTCTGCAAAACTGCTTATGGTGATCTCTGTGGTTGTGAGGATTTCTCCAGCATTGCATCTCTGCCAGGTAGAAGCACCAACCTTCCTCCTCTCCACGATGTATCCTTTTATGGGTACAGGACGGTCACTGTCAGGGGGAGACCAATGAATGGTGATGGACGAGTCAGTCTTGTTCTGCACCACAGCATCGACTGGGGGATCAGGAGGATGCTTCCTGGGAGCTACAGTAGGGAAAAAAAATTAAGATGTTCCTTTGAGTGCAATAAATTTTCATCGTCTCTTTTTTTCTTACATGACTATTGACAGGTTGTATGGGAACCTTTTGCCTACCATTATTTATGATAGTTCATCTAATATCTAACCTACAACATTGTTTATGTAGCATTAATTTGACATTAAGAATAGTATTTACAACATCTAATGACATTTTTTGATGAAAACACAAAATTAAAACAATAGGCATTAATGCACATGCATTAATTTACTTTATTACAATTTGTTCTACATACATCCTATAAGTCAATTCACATGAAACTTAGACTAATAGAACTTGAAGTAACATACTTAAAATGTCATATGATTTATACTATTTAGCTCTTTTTTGTCTTTTACAACTCAAACGTTTGTAAAACTTGAGAGCCCTTTTTTTTTTGGTGTGGGGGCCATGATGAACCTTAGTGCTGTTACCTCCATCATATCTCAGTAGCCCACCATGTCTTCAGACATCTATTTATAAACGCATTATTTGTTTCATGTATATATGCATACATTGCGATTTTTTTGGCATAGATATTAAAGCCATGACAAATTTGGTTTTAGGTTAGACATGCTGGGAATGCAGATTAAAGGACACTGCAGTTAAAGGGCTCTTGGAATAGGTGGAGGCAGAACTAGATGCTCACCAAGGCCAACATTTCAATATTTACTGCAATATGTTGCACAATTTACCATATATAAGAAAAGTCTTTAGAAATTATTTAACTCACCAGTGACAGAGAATCGCGTTGAAGTCTTACAATCTCCAGCCACAAAGGCCACCTCTCCAGAATCATTTGCCTGGCAGTCTTTAATTGTTAACGTGTACTGTCTAAGAACACAGGCGATTGAAGTACGAGAATCTTCCTTCAGTTTCTCGCCATTGCGAGTCCAGTAGGCATCTGGACAAGGATGCTCCAGCTCAACACAAAAGATGACGGTGTCACTGACTGGAACGATGGTCCTCCGAGGAAGCTTCTTTGTGATATTACCTGGTAAATGGGAGTAAGTTTATACATAATAATATTTGCAGCACAAAGAACAGCAAATATACGCATTCATCTCAACTTTGTTAACCAGTGTGGTCACAACAGTAGCTGCACTTGAAAAATTATTTTTGAAACAAACGTCTTCAAAATTACAAATAAGATGCCTGAAAAAATCCAAAGAGAACAGTTTCCCTACCCAGGACAGTGAGCTCAGCCACAGTGCGGCTGCCCTCTTTCATCTCGCAGATATAAACTCCATCGTCATTAGTGGTGACATTATGTATGGTAAGGCGACGCAGGGTCCCATCCTCATCCATGCGATATTTAGTGTTTTGCTCCAGCCTAGTTTCCTCCATGAACCAGTCGGTCTGAGTGGCGATGAGTGGCACCTCACATAAGAGTGTGGCTGAGGTCTTTTCTTGTACCTCCACATCCTGCAGTTTCTTCTTGAATGGCACCTTTGGCTCTGACAAACAGAAAAACAACAAAATCTGCAAATTTTTAAAATGACATAAAATGTTCTAAAGTGTAGAGCAATCATTCGTTAGAAGGTAGGAAATTACACATTAGTTAAGTAAAAGTGAAGGAAATTCAAGATTAAATGCAGTGCACTCCAAAATTATTCTCACTTCTTGTAAAGATGTGTAGAAATGCAACAAAATAAGTTTAAATTGAAGAAGTATAATGTCAGTCAAATGTAAGAAAAATCTAACTTTTACGTGATTAATTATTAAAGAAAAATATTTGATTTATCCTTTTTAAGATAGTCAGATTGTCTGAACTCAGATATTTTGTGTTCTGGTATTTCTGTGTTTTAGTCTGTTTTGCATCATTTTCATCATATATGTTCTTATACTGATTTTATTTTATTGTTTTCTTTTCTTTTAATCCTGTATGTTTTTATTTACCTTGCAAGCCACTTTTGTCAGTCATGTTTTTTTCAGACATGCTATAAAGTACAAATTGACATTCAAAAGGCTAATATCTTGCAGACACGTTTTAACATGGGAAAGACAGCAGAAATCCTTACAAATTACAATTTTGGTGTAAAGCCCAGATGTACTTATCAAAGTAAATAAGGGCTTCATGAACAAGTAACATAAAATAGTACAATTCTTCTGAATAACTGAATATTTTTTGATTCATATAGGCAACTTTTATTATGACTTTCATGGAAAAGAAACCGCTTGAAAACAGCACACTCTCTCCATATATATCCATCGTTCCTCATCATCAGAGTGCATGAAGATTTTGAATCAACACAAATATATGATTTACTGATGTCATCCTCTGAGCTACTTTTCTTCCTGGAGGAAGTGTCACTTGCAGTGGCCTAGAAAGGGTGAGTTCATCTGAGAAACTGTGAACTACTCATCACCAGTAGGAAATAGATGAAACACAACACCTACTTCCAAAGGGTCGAGGTGAATATAGCCATGTAATTTATGGCCACTGACATTTAGGTAAATCTTAGGGAATAATACATTGATTTAACATGGTAATTACAGTTATAGGTAGCGTATGGCATATTACAGACCTTTTTAATGAGAAGCAAATGTGTGCTTATCTGCAGCTGAATGTGCTTATCAACAACTGGAATCTACAATTGTATCTATAATATGTGAACTTTAAGAAAAATAATTTTCTATCATTTTAACTGTACATGTAGGTCTATGGTTCCCTAAACTGATGGGATATGGGCTACCTTTAGTGCTACAGAGGAAAAAAAAAAACTAAAACACTAAAAAGGCATATTTAAATAAATGTTGAACAAGTGCTAATATATCCCTATTCATCTACTTCTGAAGTCCAAACTTGGATACTATAGGTATCGGCAATCGGTAACATGGACTAAAACATTAAAAGAAAAATCTGGGTGTTTCTGTTAAAACAGTTTTTGTTAAATTAAAATATTAAATTGAAAAACACAAATGTTCTTACCCTTTTGGGGTCAAAAACAAACGAGTAGAAATTTCTTGGAATTTAAGTTTTGTTGGATTTGTTTTCATATTTAAATATATAAAAATTATAAAAGGCTTGCTTTCTGATGGCCCACCCCCCTTATCTCAACTTGTGCTAGCAAAGCACCTCATAATATTATTGATTACACTTTGCAGAGGAGAGTGTTTCTCACACTCTGCTCACAATTTAATACAAATATACTATATTTTTCATGTTGATAAAAGCAACAACAAAAAATGTTTTTTTCTGTTTTTTGGCTTTGGATTCTAACGCAGAAATTCAATTATCAAAACATGCATGAACTGAGATGACACTGGCACAGTTGTTAGTTCTGTTGCCTGGCAGCAAGAAAGTTCTTGGTTCAAGTCACAACCTGTGCTCTATCTGCATGTCGTTCCTGCGGATACTCAGGTTCTCACCAGGTACTTTGGTTTCCTCCTACAGTCCAAAACATGACTTGACTTACTGGGCACTAATTTCCCTTCAAGTATGTATGCATGGTTGTTTATAATTTGTGTGTCAGTGTTGGCCTGTGGTAGACTGTTGCACTGTCAAGGGCATATATACCATGCCTCTCCCCAAATGACTGTCCTACAGGGATAAGCAGATGTAGACAACGTTCACACCCAAATTTTTAACTTCTAAGTACTTTGCCATTAATTTTCCCAACTACAATGTTTGTGATTTAAACTTTAACACATAGATAAGCCATTTCCTAGAAATACATTGTCAATGGATGTTAGCTGTTTTTTTTTTATTTATTTTTTTTTTAGTTTGTCTTTTTACACCATTCCCAAACAAACAAGACAAGTCAAAGTCCTGCTGTACTGCAGCTCTACAAAGCTTGTATAGGTGGTGGTACCTGGAAAGCTTAGTATCCATTGAAGTTGTACTTGATAGAAAAATGTAGATAATGGAGCAGCATCTATTTAAGATGTTGCTGACATAAAGAAGGGGTGGCCCAGGCATAGCCCAAGGGACAATGATGTGCCACATTTTTAGTTTTTAATTTATTTTATAGTTAACATTATCACACATCCTGTTAATCACAAGCAAGCGTAATGACACATTTTACTTCGTCATTAAATTTAGCTAAATAAACCAAGTGTCTTCAAAGAAAGAGTGTGACTAAATGTAAAAATAGAATAAGACAATTTCCCGGCCAGGAAGCAGGTAAAAATAAATTTAAAAAAATCTCAATAAAATATTATTTGCAATCACAAATTTTTAAAAAATAAAAATGTGGATATCACTGCATTAGTGTGCATATAATGTGTTTTCATGATAGTTGCAAAACATCCTAAGGTAGTTTAGATGTACACAAAAGATTTCTTTTTTTCTCAGTGAGTGAACATTTTAAAACCTTACCTTTGACTGTAACCAGTACAGCACTGTAGGTCTGGCCTGCCATATTGGTGGCATTGCATGTATAGAGACCATTATCACTCTGCTTGCAGTACAGGATCTTGAGGATGAAGTTCTCAGCGTGATCCTCATAAATGACGTGCCTGCGTCCCTCACTGATGTTAGTTCCGTCCTTCCTCCAGATAATGTGTGGTTTGGGGTGACCCGTCACAAAGCAGCTGAGTTTTGCATGTTTGCCCTCAGTAACAGTGCAAGTGCGGGTGAAAACACCTTTAGGTAGACTGGCCAGTGCAGACGCCCTCAGCTCCTGCTCCAGGCTCAGGGAACTCAGGGCATCGGTCATGTTGGCTTTGGAGAGGGAGCTGTTTTCCTCCGTGCGAAAGATGGAGATGTCCTTCTTCATTTCCTCTTTGCGCTTTTGCATGTGCGAGAGGAGAGAGGTACTCTTGTCTGCAGACATGTGGCGAGCATCCTGAGTATCCACCACCAGAGCTGCAGCAGCCTGGGAGCGGCCCACAGAGTTCTGGGCCCTGCAGATGAACGTTCCGCTGTCCAGGTTGCGCACACCTTGGATCTTTAAGGTGCTGCTTTCGCTGTCGGACATAATTTTGATGCGGTTTGTTTCACCTAGGTAGCGCCCGTCCTTCTCCCACTCAAAGGTGGCCTCAGGGTGAGCCACAACCCGGCAGTGGAAAACAACTTCTCCTCCTAAAGCCACTCTTGTGGAAGTAGGCTTCACCATGAAAACGGGGGCCCTCTGAGACATCTCCGTTTGGAGGGCCACCTTCAAGGTCACAGCAGCATAAGCTTCCCCGATGTTGTTTTTGGCTCGGCACATGTACTGACCACTGTCCTCCAGCGTAAGGTCATAGATGGTCAGACGGTAGATGTCTCCGTCTTCCACAGTTTTAAAGCGGCCCCCAGACGAAAGCTTGAGCTTGTCTTTTTCCCAGGTGATTACTGGAGTTGGGTTGCCAACAACAGTGCAGCTGAGTGTAGCATCCTTGCCCACACCCACTGTGAAGGCCTTTGGGCGGGTGAGAAACCTGGGGGCTCCTCCAAACAGGTTTTGATCCATTTTTACTTCTGTGATGAATAAAGCATATAAAAAGACATTAATACAGCTACTACAACAAACAGTAATAAGGGAATAATCTAAGGACAACTTGATTTAAATGTGACAACTAAATAACAGGGTCAAAGAATACATATAGTAACATCAGTTCACACAGAACTGATTTTTTTTCTACTCCTTGACCCCAACCATGACTGCAACTTCCTAGAAAACAAGCAAAGTTTGGTGAACAAACAAGTGGTGAACAAAAGAAAAAAAAAATAGCTGTCTACAGAAGATGACCAGCAGCTGAAAGTATCTTAACCATTTGTTAAAGCTGCCACCATGTTGTGACAGTTTACTATGAAACAGATAGTCTGTGAAAAGATCAATCTCCTCCACCTCCTCCCTGAGCTGCTACTAGCTGTCTAAAGAAATGGACTGTTCTGACCACAAACAACCAATCAGAACCAGGAGAACAGCCGTAGCGCTCTCAGTCAACCTTTCACTCACTACTAAGTGTGCTAAAAGGAGGTTTTATAAAGATTGTTTGAATTTCTGTGAGTAATAAATAAATTGTTTTTGTTGTGTAACTGTAAAAAGAGTAGAGAGACAGGAACAATCCACATAGATTGAACACCGTGTTGCTCACCTTTTCCACTGGGACAGAGAGCAGGGGTTATGCTGTTATCAGGGCTAGAGCTGCTGCTGTCTGAGTAATATGTTAAGTGTGGTAGGAAGTACAGGTACAAGTTAAATATATGAATATGTTAAATTATTTCCTTCATTCATTAAATGCTAGTGGAATGGAGGCAAACAGTAGTCTGTAGCTCAGCTAACTATGCTAAATGGTTGACAATTTCGCACATTCTACCCACCTCTCTTGGAGAAAAACTGGGCTATAAATTGACACTCTTGTCTTTGTTCACATCTATACATCTTTCTTTTTGAAACCCTGACTTTATAATTTTTCTTGGCGACACAGTAACA